CGAATAATTTCGTGTCGAATCGTACGGTGTCGAATAATTTGGTGTCGAATAAATCTGTGTCCAATAATTTTGTGTCCAATAATGTGGTGTCGAATCGATCGGTGTCGAATCGTACTGTGGTCAAACGGAACACGCCCAGTAATTTCTATTAATTTCGGCTAAAAATTTCGTCCGCCATCTTGGTCCGCCATCTTGGATCCGCCATTTTGAATTTTGCAAATCTGACTTCAGATTCGTGATCAGCAACCCCAAAAACCCTCGTAAACTTAATTTGGTGCAACTCGGTTGACTAAAATTTTTGTCCGCCATCTTCGTTCGCCATCTTGAAAATTTTAAAACAGCCAAGGTTATATCTGAACGTAAAATTTTCCGCTTTTTCATTTTCCGGTGTCAAAAAGGGGGGTTTCCATCTTAAAAAAACCACTTCCGGTTGAAGTAACCCACTTTCGGTCAAAATCAAAAGTTGAAAGGTACGCCATTTTGGTTCCCCCTCGAAACCCTACAACTTTTATATAAAACTTGTTTCGATTCCTGGCCACACAAACGAGTTATTGGAGGTGATAGATTCAGGTGACTCACCCTGTATAATTATTTTAATATTAATTATTTTAAAATTAAATCAAATCACAGATCGCAATACAGTTTTAAAAATGAGAGAACAATTATTTATATATTAGTTGCTGCATTAGCTTTCGCATTTTCGCGAATTAATCGGAGAGTTGCTTGTCTGACCCAAGTTTTTAAATTTTCTTCGAACTTCGCTTCTGTAATGGCAGGACAACTTTTTTTATAGCAGCTGAAATATATAAAAATATATAAAATATAAAATATATAAAAATTTATATGATACTTTAAAATTACTTTTATTTATTCAAAGAAAGTTAAATAATAAGCAAAGTAATATAACAATATTACTTACATTTTATGTAAGTAATAATTTTTTAATCTTTTAATTTAAAGTTGTTTTTTGCCCCGGTCCAAGAGCATTTCGAAGCAAGATTGTTGGTAAACAATTTTTGCAATGCTCTTTTTATTGCGTCTTTTGATGTAACACCATCAATCATAACCAACATGATGACCTACAACAAAAATTTTAATAAATTATATTTTTATTCACACAGAAAAAGATACTGAAATATCAATCAAATATCACTTTGTATGTAAATTAATATAAATTTGATATACGCGTAATAAACATATGAAATAATGTCTGATTGATATCTCAAATATTTTCTGCTGTATGAATAACATCAAAATGATTAGATAGTAATGAAAGGCATACCACTTGTGATTGTGCTTCTTTTGCCACTAATATAGCTTCAAAATTATTAATGTCTTCAATTTGATTTATTGGTAATTGTGGAATCATATCAATATTATGATTATTTATTACATAATTGCAGTTTTCCAAATTATGTAAGCGATTATCTAATCGTGTACATATAAGTTTTATCTCAATAACGTAACGTAGAATAGAATAGAAGACCAACGTTCTCAGGCAGATATCTTAATTATTTTTCTAACCATCCTATCAGCCAAAAAAGAGGCACTGTCATCAGCCTCGTAGATAGAGCCTTCTTTTTATCACACCCTAAGTTCCATTCTAAGAATTTTGACTTGACTTTAACATTTTAATTGGCAATACTTATCCTCGTGACCTTATCTATGACATTTTTATACAGAGATTAAAATACAATTTTTTTAAAAATAATGACTTAAGAAGGTTCTTGTCTAACAACACGTCTAATGATACACAGCGTCGTTGGTTTGTGATGCCTTATATAAATAATTTTTCTGAGAAATTTTTAAAAATATTTCTTAAAGACTCTAATACTCGTTCAGCTTTTTATAGCATTGACAAATTGGCTAAATTCATCAATGTTCTCAAGGATCCACTATCTNCATCCACACGTCCTTCTGTCGTATATAAAATTAATTGCCGTGATTGTGATGCATCATATGTTGGACAAACTGGCAGAATGTTGCAAGTGAGAATAAAAGAACATAAAAACCATATTAACAGAAACTCTTCTCAAAGATCTGTAATTACTGACCACAGAATACAATATTCTCATGATTTCGAATGGGATAGAGTAAAGATTTTAGATAGCGAGAGATCTTACAATAAACGTCTGATATCGGAAACGCTGCACATTAGAAGTCAAATCCACAGTCTCAATTTGCAGAGCGACACCGAAAATCTCGACAAATCTTATTTACCTTTTGTCGATAATACATGTTGATTAAAATGTGCCCTGTAACTGTTGTTTGCGGCTTTGACTTCTATTTAAAATCGACACACAATTGTTCGGTGTCTTCAGTCGCTTCACTACACTGTTAAAAGATCGTCGGGTTCTGTTCTTGCAATATTGAACACTCTAGGCGACACGTTGCGATGACCATTACTGTATTATTTTGTAAATTTTTAATCAACTTGTTATCACAGTGTTTTTCTATATAATGAAATTTCTGTTCTGTAGAATCATTTAAATTTTGTAGAATTGTATTCAAAAAGACCTGATACAAAGGTCGAAAGCTTTACATTCAATAAAACTTATTTCAACAATATACACACCGTCATCTGTGTTCGCTTCAACAGCCATTAACAACACCTACATATTTTAAGAATTTTATTGTATTTAAGTTTTAGAAATTAACTATGTACACATTGTTGCTCAACGGAAACCGCGAGAAGGTGGTGGTTTCTTCCGTCAAAAACAATGTAAAACATTTGTTTTGTTCAATATTGTGATGATTGTTTATATATACGTTTTTTAGCATAAAAAATAATGAGTAAAATAATTGGAATAATTCTACATGTTATAGTATAAAACAATATTTCAATAAAAATATAACTACAAATAACTACAAATATATAAAAATTAATACACTATTTACAAAACCAATGTTGTGTAAAAAGAATATTCCAAAAAGAATATATTGTAGATAGTGTTACGTCCTGGGGACTCCACGGGTCCCTTTTTCTTGCAACGCGACGCGCCAACGCATAACAAATTTCCCTTTTTATAAATAACGAAAAACAATAAATAACTCGAACGGGTCTCCTATCGTTTGGAAACTTATACTCCAGACGATAGGAGAGCAAACGGAAATTCCATCGGCGCCCGAGAAGATAAACCGCGCCTAGTAATAACCCGAAATTTTAAACTTATTGTTTAAACATTCTAAACAAACCCGTATCTCCGGGCCAGGAAGAACACCGCTCATAAAAATTAGACCAGTCGGAGCAAATAGAACTCCGGCGCCACGAGCAATTTTATTATAAATCAATAGCAAAGGGTCTTGATGGCGTGATCAAAAACCAACACTCTCCCTTTTCCCTTCTCCGGAAAATCGGACGAGCCGACCGAGCCGAGAGATCGTTGCCGATTGGCGATCTCACGAAGTTTACCCGACCACTAACTAACGAATAGAAACTGGCAAAGCTCGACTGAGTTTTCCGATTAGGAGAGTCCTCGCTTACTCAAAATTGTATATAAGCCAGGACTCTCAGAACCGAAGGCAGTTAGAGCCGCAGATTTTAGAAGTACCACAGCGAGTGAGTGAGTGACAGTGAGTGCAGAATGTGAGATCCAAGAGTGAACTACTGCGCCGCAACAGCCTAGAACCTTTTATTAATCAACATCACTGGTCCGCAGTAAGTCCACCCACAAATTCTAATCGGAGGTTCTACTTGGGGAATTCAATTCGAGATTAATACTCAGAATCTATCAGAGGCGCATAACCACCTAGAAGTATCGCGAAATCATATTATTTTGTTTGGACTTGGTTAGGTGGCGTGCGAGAGCACGGACACGGTTGTAAGAACGTACGAGATAATAAAGGTTTAGCTAGACAAAGAAAATAGGAAAGTCAATACAAGTAGTAGAAATAGACGTAGAAGTTAAAAAAATAGGAGGAGAAATAAAGGCAAGGTAATCGGATTGAAGAGGAAAGAGAAAACTGAAAGGAAAGGAAGGCAGGGGACAAGAGGTTATGGCGGCAAAAGGTACGGAGGCAGGAAAGGTAGGAAGACCGACAAGGCTGAGGAAGGAGAAAGAAGAGAAACAAAGGCAATTAGAGTTTCCGATGGGAGGAAATGAGATAAGCAAGACGGAAAAGAAAAAGGTGACTATTACGGGGATGGAGACAAGAAGAAGACGAGGGGTGGAGGCTGAAACAGAAGGTACAGAGAAGAGAAGGTCAGAATCAGAATTTGAGTTAGAAAAGAAGAGATCCAAAGAATTCATGGAAGAATGGAAAAAGAAAGAGCAAGTATGGGAAATCAGGATAAGGATCTTGGAAGAAAGGATGGAAGAAATAGGTAAAATAGTCAAAGAAATGAAAGAAAGAGATGAAGAGAGAGAGGAATATTGGCTGTCGGAGAGAGAGGAAATGAGCGGGAAAAGTGTAGCAAGTGCAGCGAGTGCAGTAAGTAGAAGTATGAACAGCCACGTAAGCTCTGCGTCAGATAAAAGCATAGATAGGTTAAGTGTAAGAGAGATATACAAAATAAAAAGTCTCATTTCCGACAAAGAAAAAGAGGATAGAAAGAAGAACGTAGTCGTGAAAGGGATAGTAGAGGAAAGAGAATTAAAAATGATAAGGGAGGACCCGAAGAGGTGGGCGAAATTCTTCTTCAAGAGTAAGTTAAGGTTGGATTGCAATGTCGAGCAAGGTAGAGTAAGCAACAAGGTCATAGTAATCAAACTAAGCAGCGAAGAAGAAAAGAGGGCGGTAATGGAAAATAAAAACAAACTGAAAGGAGAAAAGATATTTATTCAGCACGACTTGACTTGGGAAGAGAGAAAAATTCAGGAGGAAATCTATAAGTGGGTAAAAGAGAAGAGAGAAAAAGGAGAGGAGGTGAAAATAGGGACAGGAAAGGTAAAGATCCAAGGAAAGTGGAGACAATGGAGGGACATACAAAGAGAAATGGGGACAGATAAACGGAGAGAGGAAGAAGTGAAGGAGATGGAGGATAAGGAGGATGCAGAGGAAGAGAACTAGAAGGAGGCCTGAGGGAAGGAACGGAAAGAACACCGCCGGAGGACAAGAGAAACAAGTTAAGAGGAAAGTATATTACATGTAAGGAAGGAGGAAAATCAAGAACAAAGAAAGAAGATTAAGACTAGGAAAGTAAATGTAAAAGTGATAAGGGGAGAGAAGAAATAATAATTGAGCGAAAACAGAGAAATATAAGACGATATAAGTGTAAGCTGATGTAAATATATGTATTATATGTAACAGATGTAATAAATGTTATAGATGTGTATAGGATATAGGTAATAGGGTTATGTTGGAGGATTAGAAGGGAGGGGGTGAGAAGAGAAGTGTCTAGACAAAGTAGAAAGGGTAATTAGAAAATAACTGGCGTTCGCAATAAGGAGAAGTGATATATGTATTAGGATAAGATAAGTGTAGAAAGAAAATTGTAAGAAAGCTGTAAAAAAGGTGTAACCAAGTCCCCTTCAAGCCGCTAAGGCAGAAGGTAAAAAAATAAATACATATTATTTTGTTTCTTCGCAACCAACTTCTTTTGACCACTCTCGACGGGAGAGCAGTTCGCGATTCCAATCGTGAATAGCGTCCGACCGAGCAACCAACTCCTGTTCGACAACCCTCGCCGGGAGAGCAGTTCGCGACTTCAATCGTGAATAGCGTCCGAATTATTTCTTTTTCCTTCCTAAATCACGAAAACAAACAAAACCCGCTTATCTCCGAATATCAGTCTTAGAATCATGACAAATCCAAATTTATTTCTATCATTAAATCTATCGGAACCTAAGAAATGAAACAAAACCGAATTTGTCAACTGACATAAGGAAATACATTTCTAAGATGATCTAAATTATAATATATCAAAAGCAATTATTGATAGTCGATATATATCGGAACGAAAATATCGATAAAGTATAATATCAGAACGAAAATATCGCATAAATAATACATAATAATAATAAAAAATTTTATATAAGTTATTAATTGTATATACATTAATTGTATATTGTATTAAGTTAATATATTTAACTTAATTGTATATAATTTAAAATTTAGTATTACAAAGTTATTATTAAAATAAAAATAAAATGTGTTACAGCAGTAACAAAACATCTAAATAATTAATTCAAATATCATAATAAACGATATTAAATTGCTGTCTAAAAATAAAATAATAACTAATACTTCATAAACGAATTAAGATATTTATTATAGTTTAAAACTAGTAATAAATTTCCACGGTGGTAAGAACCGATCGCTGGATGTGTTTTGCAAATATATATATAACAATTTTAAGTTAAATTGTTATGTTATTAGCTATAAAAAAATTATATTAACATGAAAAATAAATAACTTCAAAATAGAATTTCTCTTTGTCTTTTATTAAAATTTTTTAAAAATATTACAAGCAGCAGATACAATCATTAAAACAAGTATGATTCAAAAAAGATTATTACATAAGATTAATGTCAAAAAATTATACTGACCACCATTGGTGGTCATCCCAAGGAGAACAAAAAGTCACAAAAAAGTCAAAATGATGTCACTTTGATCTCAAAAGATCATTACTTTGTCAAAGAGTCAGAGTAGTAAAGTCAAAATGACATCATAATGACCTTTGTGCAATAACTTCTTTAAAATGAAAAGTTTGTGCGCTTTTTTTGTATCATTATCTCATTCATCATCCTTTGCATCCTTAGTCTTTCAATTTGGTCTGACTAAGACTAAAAACCGTGCGTAAGATCTTTTACAGTCTTCATTGCGTCCGTTTTTCTCTCTTTTTTTTCTTCTTTTGTATGATCGAGGTTGTCAACGCGATAAGCTCGCCAGTGGAAGCTCGGCAGTTTAGCGAGTCATTACACTCGCAAATTAAGGTAATTTACGAGTTAGACGTTAAAAATTCAAAGTCCCCATTCAAATATTTCCGGAATAACGGTAAAAAACTGTGATTGGAGGGTTTTTGGCGTGTTAAGAGCGCTCTGATAGCAAGTTCTAAAGCCTGTTCTACATTAAGCAAGACGCAAACGCAAGCAGCAGGTCTCGCGGAATTGACCAATCACGTTGGCTGATTTACTGATTTGATCAATGTGATTGGTCAATTCCGCAAGACCTGCGACTTGCGACCCGTATCTGCGTCTTATGTAGATAGATTTTTATATAGAACGGTCTTAAGAGCATTGCACGTGACAAAAGTTTAGTCGTAATTGTAAGGTCGTAAGTAAATCAACCAATCACAGGCCAATATTCTAGCTAATACTGGTCTGTAGTTGGTTAAATTGTTTACGACTTTACGGTTACGATTAAAACTTTTTTATGTGCAAGAGTATCAATCCACCATCATCTTAAGGGTCGTCTACAATGGAGAGTTTTAGACTGTAACAGTAAGAAACTGACAAATCACAATCGATTATTCTTCTGTACTTTGCCTGAGATTGGTCAATTTCTTACTATTACGGCCTACAACTCTCCATTGTAGACGGCTCTTTATCTTTTGCTACCTGTTGCCGCGTGGTTGCCGCCGTGTGAGACGTATTTTGACTCCGTGCGCCGGTAATTTGCTGTGTCTTGTTTATTCTGGATGGATTAGCTTTCGGGATGGCTCTTGAAGGTAATTATTCATAAAATATTTAATATTTTTGTTTAGATCTTTATGATCGGTGTTAGAATCGCACTGTAATGTATCTTATTGTAAAGTACACTGATTTATTAGTATATTTATTGCCATACCATAGATAAGGGCTATCTTCCTTTTTAACTTTTGAAGATCTGGAGAGCCTCAATATTTTTAACCTCAATTTTTGTGTGGCCATTTGATGATATGCTTGTGATTTGCATTGAAAAATGATTCGAAACTGGATACACGCTACCTCAGTCAAAGAGATCAATAGGCGTCTTCGAAATGAAGAAGTCAGGCAGGCCATTTTAGCTGTTGATGCTGAAGAACATGCAGAGAATGAGAGAGTTGATGTTGAACTTGAGCAAGCAGTAGATGATGTGGTTCACGCCAACAATGATAAAAACATTAATGACGAACAGAAAGACTATGATCAGAATGATGATTATGGTAGTATGTTTTTTGTACTATGAGCAGCTAAGGCTTTACATGAGAAATGAATTCTTTTGTTGAATTCTACGTACTGTTGTTATTATTTGTAGCATTTCCATCACAAGCAAGCAGTTCTAAAAAAAAAAGCTTCAAAGAAATTGCATGATAACCCTGGTGTTCATGAATCAGTAAAAGAGATAGTATGTGAAAGTCAGTCATGTCAGTCCATGCCCGAGCAGAAGACATCAGATTCTTTTAAAGACACAGAAACGACTAGCAGTAAGTTCAAATCATTTTTGAGTATTTTTATGAATAATATGATTTAGAAGTATGTTAATGTGTTTATCTTTGACAGAAAGTCTTGTAAACCAAATGCATCTTAATCTCCTTCAAGAGCTTCATAGAAAAGTGGATTGGCTTAGTATCAATATGAGTCGAATATTAGACGAGCTTTTCCCTGATGAGTCTAGGTTTGACCGTTTACAAGGATTTCCTTCTTTATCTTTAAACACAGAGAATGATTTGGCAGAATTTGAATCTTATTTAAAGAATAAACCAATTTTCAATAATATGGTGAATCTTACTTATTCTGTTGTTCTCTATTATTGTTTCTCTGACATAAAACATTTTTAAATTATTTGTTATACATTTCAGATGAAGTATCTTGGAGAAAAGGGAAAGGGCGAGTCTCATCTTTTACGTACTCCATTCTGGCCGTCCTCATCTCCAACCAACTTGCTCGCATAATAAGCTGGAAGGGCACAGGTGGAGTCAAGCTTAGCTTTGAAAAATCAACAACTAAGAAACTGGTAGAATGTACGTACGTATAAAAGTACAACTATTATTATTTGTTTTTAAGATTTTGTATTATTTACTTATTTTTTCAAAAAGATTTCATCAACTGACTTGAACTATGTTTTTACTTTTAAGATGTATGCTTAAAGAAGTTTGGTGAGCTGCCAGTTCATGTTTTTGAAGATAAGATGAAAAGATGGTTTAACCACTGAACTCTATATACACTGGAATGCGCATCTCCATCTAACAAGCATAGCGAGACGTGGCACAAATTGATCAGCGCCATTTTTGTTTGGCCTGATATTTGAGCAAATCAAAAGCGCGTTCCACGCGCGGTCCCGCTACAAGTTAGCGACATGAGATGTTGTGTACCCGGGTGTGGGCAGAGAAGTCAAAAGGGGATTTCATTTCATAGGTAAGGATTTTGGTGTGAAATATATCAGTTGCATGTATTAACAACAATGTAGGATGAANATCGTTAGGTTAGGTTAGGATGTTGTAGATAGAAATAATATTTTTTATTGCTTACATTCTTACATACTTTTTATTTTTAATTGCTTAAATATTTACATATCTTTTATATAGATTTCCAGTGAAAGATCCGAATCGAACTCAACAATGGATTGATAGAATATATGCGTTTTTGGAAATGCATAATTGTAAACAGAAAGCTTAAAAAAGACAAAACAATTTGTTTTATGTTCCAAACATTTCCTTAATAGCGATTACCTTGTTACAACAAGTAGCCGTATGTTGAAAATTTCAGCATGTCCTTCAGTCTTTTTGGTAAGTTATACAGGGTCCGCCACTTAAATCCGGACAAAAATTTTTTTCTCGAAAACGTTGTTTATTACAGAAAATATGAAAAAACATAAATAGACTGCTTTATAGCTGGGTTAAGGGATCTTTTCTGAGACATTTTACTCAATGTATCCGCCCTGCGTTTCGATCACCGCTTCAATCCTATTCCGAAAGCGCGAGCATGCCGTCTGCAATTGCGCACGGTCCATTTTTATGAATGCCGCTTCAATAGCGGCTTGGAGAGAGGCTACATTAGGGTGTCTGGCTTTGTTACTATCCCTCTCGACT